AAACAGACTGTAAAGCCCGGTCTTTTCTAAAGGTTTGTAAATAAATACAAAACATTCAATAAATGCTTTGTAGCAAGTGAGTGTTTTTCATTTCTACGCTTAAAAATCGTTTACGGTTAAAATTTCATATAAAGTATATTTTTGGTGTCTCGAACCTTTCAATAAAAATATTATTTCAAATAATTTATATCTTTTTTGGACCAAAATACAGTTCAACTAACTACAATATTACTAATTTTATAAAACAGATTCATATTTAAACTATGCTTTGAGGTAATGTTGCTGTTAATTTAGGTTCAATAACTATATCAGAACGTTATGATTCAAACTGTGACAAACCTTTCACACGTTTTGTGGACAATAAAGAACTTGTGTAGTGGCCATCTTTGTTTTCCCCGAGGATAAGTTGAAAGTGTTCATTAGCAATTATTAACATAGTCTCACTTCTTAAACCCATCGTAATCTATAATTATTATTTAAAAGTGGCTCTAGAAACATTAAAATATGAGAAATTGAAGCGACGACAGTCACGAACCTTTCCAATTAGCATGATTGTGATCATCTTGAACAATACGTGTTGCTTGTAGCATTCGGCTATCTATGTTTTTAGGTACATGTAAAAGTTATTCCTTAGAAGCACACATAAAATCAATCCCTTCTTTTACGTCAAAGGGATCATAAATGAGCGACAAGCGTTAAAAGGAATTGCGTCATCATATTGTGTTTGACCAACAAATCATCATATATATTTTATTTATTGATATGGTATTGTACTTTTAAACAATTTTTTAACTATTTTCGAAACTTCTTCAACAGTTTAAATCAATGTTCAGTGAAAATATTTACCTTGTATACATTTGACCTGATCAACGATTAGTAATTTTAACGCATTCACTAATTTCAAATAAATTCAAATCAAACTGGTTGAAAACTGTTTTATAAACCACCAGAGGTGCATGCATTTGTTAATTATGTGTTTAAAAAGCATTTTAAAGTTTAAAGAAGTTTTGGCAGAAAAGGTTCACTTTCACCTGAAATGATGTAGAAGAAAAACAGTATTTATGTTTCCCCAGGATAATTTTATAGAGTTTATAGTAATGTTGTATGTGATGACAGGTTCTTCATATAGTAAATATGATTAAATACTTAACATATGATTGTATATTATAAAGATTAATATATAAAGATAACTTTATTTTTTGTTGGGTTTTACGTCATAGGTCAAGCTTTTCTGCTGGAGTGTCCTGACGTGCATTATTTTATGCACGAACGGGTTCCTGTGTAGAACCACCAACGTCCCGGTGCCCGTTCGTGCCTGAAATAATATTTATATATACTGATTTGTGATGTACACGGTTTCTCACTTATTAGCTGCACAAGGCCTCATCGAGTGGGGAAAATATTATAAAACAAAATACGCATACATCATTTGTGACATGCTAGGACCAAGTCTTCTTTACAAGCATGCACAATTTCTTATGTATATCTTTAATGGTTCTCTAATTATAGCACGTTAAGCAACACTACCTAATTTACAAAATAATGTTGAAATAAATGTCCGGTACGATAATATGACACTTTTTTCGTGGGTACATATAACACAAATGTTGCACATTCACATTCTTATAGCATAGTTTTTATAAAGAGTATAACTGTGAACAGCAAACAACTTAGAAATTTATCATATAACATGTTGTTTTGACAAAGGCGTTGCCTAAATAATATAATTAAATAACAGTGTTATTTTTCGTTTCTCTTTTGTTTATGAATCATTTTCAAATACATTTAATCATTACTTCACAGGAATAGCCACGACAAAATATGTTTTGGCTATAGACTTATTTGTCGAATACGAAACAAGCAAAAATGTTTAAAGGGTCTTTATTGAAATCGCTTTCAAACATAATCAACTACAATTAAAACCTCTTAATTGTAACGGAAATTTCATAAATCAGTTACTTAAGAGTATCATTTAAGATTGATATTCAAAATGTTTAACAAGAACAAATAACTGTTTTCTAGTTATTTACAAATCATGATTCAACTTTTCGATGATATATTTTAAAGAGAAACGCACATTTAACAATTTAGACTTTTTCCATGTGTTAAAATTTAAAATGTAACATACTTTATAACTAGAACCACTACATCGGCATATTGTAACACAGATACAGCAACTAATACATTTAAAGTATTATTGACTTTTCTCTCGCATTTCCAACTAAATGATATTATAAGATACTTTAACATATTGCTTTTTGCGAAATATAACGGAGATTTTTTCAGTAACGAAAATTTAGTTCGAGAAACATATAGTTTACTTTTCTGGCATCGAACACAATTTCAATTTTTGCATTTGAGTGATTGTGTAAGGTTGTTGTTTTCTTCTTGAATTGTTTGATTTTTTCCATTTACGTCAGCAAGTTAACACGTTTTCATATGGTTTTCAAAGTAGGTCTGGGCAGATTTCTTTGCGACCTCATCAATTCTGCCAGATTTGCCTGGGCATTGTGCACAGAATGGCTTCTTTCTTAATCCATTTCTGATCTTTGTAAGTGGGCCACTGGAATAATTGGTTTTTTTGCTGCATGAAATTGATCTCAATTTCTGAATCGTCGCTATCGATGAATTTCCCTATGTACAATTCTTTCTGGTTAACAGCAGCAACGAAGTCATCTTTCTTGTATTCTATTCATTCTACATTGTGCACGTGTCCACTAAGCTCTTATCTATGCTTTTATCATTGCCATGTGTGGTATTACAAGTGTTATCTGTAGTAAACCTATCGTCGTCTATGGTACTATTTCCTGAACATTTTGTTGCTTCATATGTAGATGCAGATGACCATGAGCTACACATTTCTCCTGCTAAACACTTAACACAGTAACAACTTCGATGAATTATATCTTGGATTTGCCCAAACCAACAACTGCATGCAACTCCATAGTACCTGCAACTGACTACACTCCGACTAGCCATCAACTTATTTTGCCGTGTTGGGCTTTGTTTAGGGATTCTTATTTCTCTCTATTTTAGCCTTTGCCTCGCAACTATCCCTAGAAACAAATCGGGATGTAACGTTTGTCACATTCGATGTCTTTCCCCACTGATAGAAATCACATGCATCGCTAATACTCTCCCGCTTCGACTTGCTTCATCGGGAATGCGTTTGCTCGTACCTCCTAATCCGTCACACGGACCTTTGCCGTGTCCGCTGTCAAAGTAATTCCAGCGGACGTGGCACCCAAAAGTATCAAAGTGATTGGCGACGGCGTCAAATACATGTATGTATTTATTGCGATATTGAGAGGACGGTGAGTCACTCCAGAAGTGAATCATTTGCAGTTGTGGATCGATCAGTTTCATCTTTGGAATGAGGCATCAATAAATGCCACAACAGTTGACGCTTTGTGAGAGACTTCATGCGAAACGGTTAGAAAACTTTTGTATTGAAGCGTGCCATCATTACCATTCCAGTAAACAACCATTGGGTGCAGCGTGACGAATGACTGGTTAAAATATGCACTTTGCAACTCTTCGTGTGAGCGACAAGTGTAATTTTCCGCAAAGTCAAGCTGAATGATTAAGTGATGCTCTGGTAAAGTTTGCTTCAAGAGTTTAATTTGTTCATGTTGTACGTTTACTCGTTCCACGTGCTGTTTAAATACTTATCTAGCTGCGTGCTTGTTTGTTCTATGAACTTCTCTGCAAAAGGTGGTGAAGGAAATGTTAGTGTCTTGGTTTTCAGACTTGCATTTCAAATACAGATTTTTAGCTCACCTGTCACAAAGTGACATGGTGAGCTTTTGTGATCGCTTTGTCCGGCTTCCGTCCGTAAACTTTTACTTTAAACGACATCACCTCATAAACCGCTTAGCCAATTTTATCCAAACTTCACAGGAATGTTCCTTTGGTAGTCAACTTTCAGAATTATTCAAAGAATTTAATTCCATACAGAGCTCTGGTTGTCATGGCAACCGTAAGAAAAAACTTTAAAAAATCTCCTTTAAAAAACCCTAAAGAGCTAGCGCTAAAATATTTGGCATGAAACATCGTCTAATCAGTGTCTACCAAGTTTCTCCAAATGAAAGCCCTGCGGTCAAAATTAGCCCCACCCCGGGGGTTATTGATTTTCCTTATTTGTATATAGTAAAAACTTTAAAAAATCTTCATTTAAAAACCCAAATAGCTAGTGCTTAGATATTAAGCATGAAAGATCTTCTAGTGGGTGTCTACAAAGTTTGTTCAAATAAAAGCCCTGTGGTCAAAATTGGCCCCGCCCCAGGGGGTCATTGTTTTCCCTTTATGTATAAAGGGAAAAACTTTAAAAATGCTTTTTTAAAAAGCCTTAGAGCTAGAGCTAAGATATTTAGCACGAAACATCTTCTAATGGGTGTCTACCATTTTAAACTCAAATCCAATAAAAGTATAAAGAATGGGACTTTAATTCATGTAAGGAAAGTGGACGTTACATTTTGAATGTCTATTTGTACATTTTATGGACTTTTGATTTCAAGGCTTTTAAATGTTAAATGTTGAATGCATAGAGAAGCGTATTTGCACAGACTCAATTAAACATAGTGCGCAATGTTTATTTTTTAAGTTTTGTCTTCATGTCAATTTATATAAAAACCAGAAAAATAATGCTTTTTAATGGTACTTATAGATTATAAAAATTATAGATATATCTTTTATTGATCTACTGTCGTTCTGATAATTGATATAAGGACAAATTCTAAGATGATAGCTATATGCTTTTGATTTTTCGGAGTCCATTTGCTTGTTTTGTTACTGTACGCAATAACCTATGTACCCATCCATCCTACATTATAATAATTCACATAAGTCTTATCATAGAGATTATCTCAGCTTTGTGGTCTTTATGGTCATGGTAATGTGGTCAAGATACATCTTTTTCTTTATTTATATCTCATCATTGCATAGACAAAATAAAGCATACGAGTACAATTAAAAAAAAACAAAAAAAAACACACGTACATTTGAAAGAAAGCCATAAATGCATTGCCATTCAATAAAGTATTGTAAGAGACGGTCATATGAATTACAATAAAATTCAACTACACATGATTTTCAATTTTTATGATCGCACAAGTAAGGAAAAATGATCTATGTAATGTGTATAGGAGTTTTGGATCTAGAATGAGTCCTTTGAATTTAACAAATAGCAGCGTACCCTAAAATAATTTGCTTTCTCTACAAAATAATAAAAAGTACCAATTTCCAAATAAATTTGAGTCAATAAATTAATGTGTTATCATTTTCACTTTATTGTAATATCGTATACATAGTTAACACATTTGCAAAATTTAAAGTGGAAAATTCACACAACATAATCTACGTGAATGTCACTGTGACATTATATTTCTTCTAAAATAAGGATGATATCCAATGACACTATCAAGATCAATATAAACTCTGTTCTCTCATACACTGTTACAGCAATTTATGGAAATGATAAAGAATGGTATTCGATTGCACACTTGACTGAACAGCATTTTTTATAATTAGAAAGTGTCCGCGATTTGTCAAAAAAAGAAAAAGAAAGCCAAAAACAATTAAAAAGAAACAAGAAAAAATAAAGAACATAACAATACCATGATGTTAGATATAATTAAGATCGCATATCTGAGTCAGTTGAAATAAATTTGGTCATAAAATTGTCGGGGGTATTTTTCATGAGTGATTTTAACAGTGATTTTAACAGTGATTTTAACAGTGATTTTAACAGTGATTTTAAGCTGCTTCAACTTCATTTCTTCGAAACTCAATGATAAATAGGAATGTACAGAGGAAAAGACACAATGATCCAGCAATAGTTGACAGTATGAACGATGTACCAAGCTTCATAGAATTACTGCTGACATTCAATGTATTTAATACAGAGGTCACGTAACTCATTGTTTCTTCAGTATCACCATTGCAAAATAATCCATACACGATAACGCCTATTATAATGAATATACCTGAAATATGAATTGATAAACTAATTTAGAAAACAACTCAAATATACCTTTGATCAATGTTAGGACATGTCAATGTTGTTAACGTTAATTCTATTGACAACAAACAAACACCTGATGGTAGACAATTTATATTCAATCTATTCTCTTTATGTAATAGGATACATTATACCGTTGTTTCAAAGTGGGGATAAAATTTAGTCTTTAATGGATATTTCTGTCAACATTTTCAATTTTGCTATTTCTTTTTGACACTCATTAGGGGTTTCATTTATCTCTATCTTATATTCAACGATCTGGAGTGTTTTATTTTTATTAAGCTTAGGATGTATTTTAATTATACACGTATCTATATTTATTGATGTTTTATTTGGGATGTAGATCTTATAAAACATTTACAACGTATTCAAACATTACAAATTAGATAATTAGAGAATTCTTCATGCATGTTTGAAAAAAAATCAGAAATATTCAGTTATATTCACAAGCTAGATATACAAAATATATAACCATTAACTTCCATTTATTTATGTTTAAAATATATTTCTTTGAATATTCAACATTGATACTTAGCAAGTCCAAAATTAATAAAAACATTCGCATATATAAAATTATATGAGCCGCGTCACGACAAAACCAACGTTTGCGACCAGCATTGATCCAGAGCAGCCTGCGCATCCGCGCAGTCTGATCAGGATCCATGCTGTTCGCTATCAGTTTCTCTACTTGTAATAGGGTTGGTAAGCGAACAGCATGGATCCTGATCTGGAGCCATGCTGGTCGCAAACCCATTATGTCGGTTTTGTCGTGACGCGGCTCATATGGTTATATCTCACCTGAACTACATACAAAAGCTATGTTCAAAAGCTTTAATGTTCCGGTTTGCCTTATAAATATTAAAATAAAAGAAAGTACAACGGAGACTAAGAGCCCGGTCAAAGCAAACGTTTCCAGTATTTGCACTGCCTTAATAATGCCTGAAAAAAAAAAAGAAAATAAAAAAAGATTGCAATATCAGCTTTATAAATTAGAGTTCTTTTGTTATACGTATTAATTTAAATGGTGTAGAACTAAATGCAATGAGCAGGCATTTCAAATCACCACATACATAGGTGCCATATAAAATAATGATAATCGACGAAAATTCAAATCACCGTATCTCAATTGAAATAAATACAATTTACTCTTCTTCTTTAAATATAACAATTTCAAATCTTTACAAATAGAAAAGTAATGAATTTGAGAACAAATACGAGTCGTATTAACAAAGGAGAGTGTCATTTACGGAATGCAGCCCCGAATAACGTTCAGTCAGGTCAGATCTACGTTTAAACTTATGACCAGGCATAGAATTAAATGTCATTTCTATAATCTTGAAGAAATATAAATGAAAATACCTGTAGATTCATGTTTTGGTACAGTAGAACACGCGAGTTTCCCATATACATGAATACAGAAGCTATCCTGCCATAATCCTATATGATACTCTGACTGTAAGGAATATTCTGAAATCATCACGTTCAGATTTACTGTTGTCCATATTGGCAAGGTGAAGCCAGTTACATGAATAATAAACACAATGAGTAAAGACACAAATGCGATTGTTAAAAAACCTGATGATAAAAATGCACTTTTCGCCATTATATTAAGAATACATAATGAATTATTTGAACATTTCTTCGGAGTCAAACAGATACATACCCAATAATAAAGCTGCAAAGTTCTTAACGCTTAAAATATTTAGAAGTTTTTACTACCCGGAGTAGAAATTATTCACGTTATCAAATGCCATTCATATATCAACTACTACACACCTATTTCACATTCTTCTGTTTCAATATATAATATTCTTATATTTTCAATTAACTTAACTTAAAACAAAACTGCATTTTTTTGGGAAAATGGAACATTTAATTGATTCGATAAAAAAAAAACCCCAAAAAAAACAAAAAAACTTTTCAACCTAATGCCTGAAGAAGGTATCTCTAATCAATGTATAATATCATTTGGAATATTTTATTATATTTCAGGACCGGTCGGGTACTTAAGCAGGGATAACCATATCATCTAAGGAGTGTTTAAAATAACCGCAAAGCTGTGTGATTAAATATAAGTTTAGGTTTAAGTAAATCTGATAATAATGTTACATTTGAAGCGGATTTAGAATCTCTTAGTGCATAATTTATCATTATGTTATAAACATTACAGAAAATATGTATTTTGTATTTTAATTCCTCAGTATTAATAACGCAAAACATTTGGGTGGACAGCTTATTTATCAAATACATAATAATCTATGTCATCTAGTGGAACAAGATGACTGTTGCTAATTAAGAATCTCAACAAATAAATAAAATGAAGAAACATCAATTCTTTTGTTACGTTAGTAATTCTTCCACAATATGAGTTCAGTTGAGCTCTCTCTTGAGATCGCAGTCATTTACAGAAATATTTTTTACATGGTTTGTAATATAAAATGCGTGATTGTATACATCATTAATGGGGGCGTCCGTGGTCGAGTGGTTAAGGTCGTTGACTTCAAACCACTTGCCCCTCACCGCTGTGGGTTCGAATCCCGACAGGGACTTTGGATTCTTCAATGTGAGAAAGCTATCCAGCTAGCTTACGTTGGTGGTTTTTACTCAGGTGCCCGTTCGTGTCTGCAATAATGCACGGAAGGGCACATGAGGTCTTTACTCCACCAGTAAAGCTGGAATATCGCCATATGACCTATACTGTGTCGGTGTCAAACAAACAAACATCATTCATACCGAGATGGTGAATTGAATACTTTGAAAATTAACCTCGGAAACATATATGATTTATACTAGTAATAAAAAAATTACTTGATAGGTATCGCAGATGGTGCCGAGAAAAATATCGAAATATCGATCCAATATATTTATAAATACTTTATCACAAATGCCAGATTTTTAAAAGTACAATGGAAGATCTGTGCTCGAAAAAATAGTGCTGCATAAAACAAAGATCTGTTCCAAAAGGTAATTTTAAAGTGAATCGCAAATGAATTCCAATCAGTATTCATGACCGTATTATGACTTTATTTTGAGAAATGTTCTTATGACTTTCTCATTCTTCGTACCTCAATTCTTAAACTGAAGAATACATGGTACCTTTTACTGGATGTAATGTTAAAGTCTAAATAATGTACCTTATCCGTAGCCCTTGAGAAATAGCATTCATTATCGTCAGGTGAAGCGTGTGATCATTTTACATACTGACTAAACTATGGACATAATTTTCCAAATACATAACTTCATTAAAGCAACACGAACACATTGTATCTTTTGTTTGAAATATTCTCAAATGACTGAGCACTTTTTTTCTTGTATCATTTAATTGTTCATTGATGTTAATTGCGAAGTATATAAACTCTGGCTGTGTCTGTTCTTATATTACCCTCTTTCATTACAAGTATCGGTATGATTGCTAGCGTTACCATAGTATTCGGAATCATGTGAGACGACAAATCAATTCAGGTGAAACTAGAGAAAATAACAACGACTTTAGTTATAATACGTTCATATGGATACTTTATTGTATAATTGAAAGTATACAGAAATTTTATAAGAAATATAAAGAAATGGCAAAATGTAGAAAGCATTTCGCGTCAGCTTCGAGAACTTTAAAATATGCTACGTTATTTATGTTGATAGTTTTGATACTTCATATTATAGCGTTTTCTACACCTAATTGGGCAACCGTCCGGTTGTCTGTGAATGAGAATTCCTCCGGGCTTTGGTTAGCAGGATCGGATCATAGTGGTTTGTGGCAAATTTGCTCGTGCATTAGCGCATTTGGTGATGGTTTCTGCTCATGTTTCGGACGACATGGAGATCCAGGTACAGTTGTTGTATAAGTTTGGTATCGTATGCGATTAAATATTTTTCATTATCTAAACATATCTATATAAAAATCGTGCTGAAATAGCGAGTTGTACTAGTATTTCATAAACTAGATGACCATGTACTGCATAACACTATTAAAATGTTCTAAATTTTGACCACGCCCTTCCTGTTTCCAGGTACACGTCAAAGTCCATCTCATGTTGCTTATGGTTAAAATCATCATGTTAATTAAACCAAACGAGTTAAACCTACATTTTAAAATCATTTTTATGAGATGAACTTTGATCATCTTTTGGGAAAATGGTTTATTGAAATCAAGGGAATTCATTCTGAATATGTCTTATTTCAATATGAGAATTTACAAATGTTTAGGCAGCTGCACTTTACTTACTGGTCAAGTTAACGCGGTTCTTTTTGTTTTTCAAAAAAAAATGCCCTTTTTAATGACATTATACACGTATTATTATGTGTTTATGTAGTATGTAGGGTTTAAAACTTAACATTTATAACTTTTTGTATGTACTTAAAGTACTAGCGTGATTAAAATCAGCTCCTACATTATGTTATGATGTAAACATAAGAAGATCTGAACTCGAGGCATATTAAACATTCATGAAACATTTTTAAAAAGAGACTTTATAAATCAAAAATAGCTGCCAAAAATATAGTGTGCATGAGACACGACAAAACAGAACTATTTACGGCATAAAATAATAAATATTGACATTGTAAGTTAATGTTAGTAATTGCTTGGAATAATGTGTTTGTATTAGTGCATTGCTAGAATATCCAATATGGCTTCAAAAATTTAAGATGGCCACCATGAAATGATGAATTTTGGACCAATTTGCATGGCATTTGATCAAAATTTTAGGTACATAAAACACAATAATAAACTGGCGTTCTAACATAAAAACTGCAAAAACTTATGTACAGTAACATAGAAAAAAAAACATGCATAATTAATGTATAAAAATACGCGTTTTTAGCTCGACTTTTCGAAGAATAGGGATAGCTGTTTTACTCGCCAGACAACGGCGTCACACTTGGTTGAGAATTAATGTGAAAATAAACAACAAAAAGCAACAACAATATAAAGCTTTAAAAACATGTAACAGAAATATCGTTATTTTGTAGTGTGGTTTAAAATGACACAGGCGATGGAAACACTTGCTTTAATTGGCTACGTCATCACCGGTATCATTTCGTTCGTTCAACTCTTTTCGGAGCAGGATAGAAAAGTGAAAAGAATCAATGTATTTGTCACTATTAGTTCAGGTTGGTTTTAAAATATAAAAGTCAACATTTCGTTGTCATCAAACTTTCAATTATTACACAGCGTAATGTTCGTGTTTAAAAGAATTTTAAATTTCAGTAAAGAATGAAATATTTCCCTTTGGTGTAAAAGTAATTTTCTTGTTTTAGTACCGTATGGATTTGATAAAAAAATAAACTGCTAAAGGTCATTAGTCTGACAACTTGTTGCAGCTCATATTTTCAAAACCTTCATCTAACATTTTACATCTTTCAGGTGTGCTCGGTTGTCTTGGAGTCATTGTCTTCGGCGTTAGATCACCACAAGAGTATAAAGACACGGCGGATTTTTTCGATCAGATAGGAATGGAACTGCATGGACATTTAGATTTCTCCTTTTATCTATGCTGTGTTGCTGTTGTTATCTTGCTTCTGGTTTGTACCCCCCTCTATATGAAGGACGAGAAGATGCCATTACCTGTGCTCACCCAAGATATCCCGGTCGTTTATAACAACCAAAGTTTAGTTATTAGTCCAGACATGCTTCAAGGCGGGGTTTTCGTAACTGACATTGGTCGACAGGCTGTAGGGAACTTGGCGCCAAATGATGCTCCGCCAGCGTATACGATATCAGACCAACATACATTAAACCCACCTCCTTTTGACGGAGAAATACCGTTTAAAGAATGATAATGTTACAAGTAAATTCAAAACATTGCAATTGCACAGTCTAGCTTTTATCTTTGATAACATTATTTTGGGGTAAAGTTTAAATTTCCAAACTCTTCAATCGTATAATGTGAAGAACAAAGTATGAATAAATGTTACGTTTCAAAATTATCGTAATCATAAATAACAGGATAGTATAATGTGTTATATGTATAGTATAATGTGTTATATGTATATAACTATCTCTAAAATAATAACAAGTGTTTTGCCAAATGTCAAATTTTGCTTCGAGAATTAGAATTCTTAACAAGCATATGTTATTATTGCAATATAAAAAAAACGTTTAAAATAAGAATAATTGCCAACGACAAATTTAGATATCTGAATAACAGGCTATTTAGTAGTATTTACGAGGTAATTGTAAAACTGGCAGAAAATGACGCCTCCCTCTAATTATAAGAACTAGAATACGCCATGAATTTCCGCGTGTGGTCGTCCAATGGAAAATTATTAAATTGAGTATAAAATGGCGTTAAATTCATATTATATCTTTAGTATTTTCAGTTCCAAGTAAGCTATATCTCGAACATGAATGTGTATCATCTGACACTCAAATGTGAATAATATACATTACTGAGGTTAATACCATTGTGCCGATCGACTTGATCGATAAAATTCACAAGTTAACGCATTTTTAATATTGTATACAATATGTTGACCAGTGTTTCTCATACTGGACGGAACGGGTATTGTTATTGTATGAAAAAGGGGGGAAGATATTACCACTTATAATGATTATTTATAGATGTATATTCATTCATCTATTTATTTGTAATGAAAGCGATTGTTCACAATTAAAATAAAACCAAGGTGATCATACACTATGGACTTAACAAAGAAAAAAAACAATTTATACAATTTATATGTCGGGCTTTTTTATGCAAACGCAACGGTAAAATAAAACTATTATATTTTGTATATTTTGCTAAAAGGAAGAAACTTGTTGTACAATAAGTAAAAGATACAAACATTTTTTTTTGTAAAAGCAGACATTTCTTATAAAATACTTTATTATATTTTCTAGCCTAGAGAGAATGCCTGTATAGTTCTTATGTATCAAAGAAAATGAAAAAATACAAAACTATCAGTTTATATAAATACGGAAACATTTTGCAATCTTGTCTCCTTTTACAAAGAAAGGGGAAGTTTTCTATCTATTAAGTACCTGATTTCCGCGTATATGTTAATAATATACAACTTAAAGTAAACTTTATTGTACGACCTTTGTTGCGTTGTTCATTAATGCAGTGAAGGTTTTCATTTCATAAAACTCTTTGTTAGGTGCGTCCGTGGACGAGTGATTACCGTCTTTGACTTTAAACCACTTGCCCCTCGCCGCTGTGGGTTCGAATTCCGACAGGAACTTTGGGTTTTTTCATGTAAGAAACATCGGTGGTTCTACTCAGGTGCCCCCATTCGTGCTAGGAATAATACACGAAAGCACACATGAGGTCTTCATCCACTAGTAAAGCTGGAATATCCCAATATGACTTATACTTTGTTAGTGCGACGTAAAACCCGACAAATAAATAAATAAATAAAAAAATAAATAAATAAATAAATAAAACTCTTTGTCAACGAGAACCTTAGAAACAAACAAATCAAATTTTAAGAAAAGTGTTGCACAAATTGAAATATCAGCTGAATGTAAATGTTCAGATTTTTATTTTGCCTTAAATAAAAACAAGTATTCAATATATGTTTTCCAATATAATCGTTGCTATAGAAACCCACAAATAAACGTCTCGTGACATTTCACAATTTCAAAAGCACAAAGATGAAAATATCTAACGACAATACTAATGAAAATTAATTGTCATCTTCGGAAGTAGAATAATAAACTATCATATTGATGATATAAAAATGTTGATATAAAATATTAGAGCTTTTATAATTTCTCTAGATGAATCAATGGTTTCTCCGACACTATATATTATATTTTATCCTGGTTATTGTTAAGACTATCAGAAGAATCTTCGAATTCTTATCTCAAGTTCCATTAAAAAACACTTAATTCTAAAACATGGAAAATGAAAACTTGCTCTCAATGTAATCACTGGAATCATTAATTATGTTTTGTAAGACATCATATGTAAAACATTCAAATATATAAATTCTCAGCATTCTGTTTTTGTATGCACATGATCATCATTTGAAGATAACATGATAGATGCTGGCGAAAACGGTCAAATTTGTATGACTCTCAAGGGTTTGTTTATTTCACCACTCTTTTTAGTGTCAATGGGAGACAATCAACTAAAGGGCATTATTGTTATACATTCACATAAAACACCAAATTCGCGCATATAAAAAATATTTTTAATTAACCGTCAACTTTCATTCTTAGTAACATCATTTTTCATGAAATGCTCAAGCGTTGCGAACATACAATCGTAACCTTCCGGTACTTTCCGTCAATCTCTGGATTATAATAGTTAAAATCGTCAAGATGTTCAAGACATACTCCGAAACTTTTGCTGGTTCAAATTATGTTGATACATACCATATATTGACAGACATGTAAAATATTAAATTTTCACTTTTCACAAAGTATTTTCAAGACAAGTTACGAGTACAAGTACTGGAAAAATGAAAGCTATGTCCTTTCTGTATCATTTTAGGCTGAATGTTTCTTTATTAATGATTCAATGAAATATAATGTTTTTTAACATAATATGACTACCTGAAAGCAATGTTTCCAGAACTAAATTCATCTACAATGTACTTGTATTTTTATCTATATTTACTGAAAAATTGTGATAAACTTTACAACGGAATAAAAGATTTCACAAACAACAACGTCAACTCTAAACGGCTTGCTATTTGGAATTTGAAAATAATGAGCATGAGACTCTCTAAAAAATAAGATTGTTTATGAGCATAGTGACATTTGCGGTATGAGGAAACCGCTTTATACTCTGGTAAACATTAAATAGAATTTATTCAGTTATTTTATAACAACTGTAGTGATTGTTATATTGTTTATTAAAGTCCGATTGACATTTAGGCGTATAAAATCTAAAATTAAGGAAAGTTTAGTCATTGCATAATGACAAATTTTCATACCGGAAAACGTTTATTAAAAAATGATATAAATACGGATGAAGAAGCCGCCCTTTTCCACATTGTACAGCAAAAGACATTTTAGTTAAGTACAGTTTTATCATTTGAAAAATAAACTGCGGCGAAAATGTATGCTATTCAACTTTGTACAGCTGTAGTTGTTGTTTGCCTGCTTTGTGTTCAAGTGGAGACGAGCTGCTGGTTTAAAAATGCCTCACCTGACGGTAAGTGTTTTTATATCACATATGCTTGGTTATGATATTATTGATAAAATAGTCCGTACTGTCAGTTTTCTTCCCAACAGATTAAATTTTCAATATAAATTAATATATATATATTTAGTCGAAATCTGGTTATTCAATTTTGACAAGAATAATGCAAGAAAATATTTTTTGACACCCCCCCCCCCCCTATCTACCCCTTCAGTAATATCGCAATCATGATATTAAAGAGCTGTGTAACAGCTATATATTGTTCTTTATTACAAGTTATATAGATTTTGACAGGTTATATGACCCTATATAAACGGTTGTTTGCATATATAACCCGAGCCGCACGTGACAATGGCGATGATAAATAGGTAGTGTGGTGGTGCAACCGGACGTGGTGGTGGTGATTGCATGAATTGAATGTAAATAATAACACTGATTCGAATTTGAACAATTTTTAATGTCCAAACATATTTGCAGAGAATGGAAATTTTCCAACATACTGCGACTACCAAGGATGGGTTATTGATTCGAATACGACGCTGAAATCCCCGGCACCATACTGCGAAACATGTACATGCTTGTTCGGAAACCTTAATTGCTGCGGGTAATAAAAAATAGCTTTCTTTCTCTTTGACATATTTCAGATCCCAAATTACTGACGCCTTTTTATCATTTGTATCGTCATATTTTAAGGCCCATTATGGCCCAGAGACGTTTTTTAAAGCTTATATTTGGTGTCCTGTTTATTGTTTCCAAAAAGTTACTCACTGGTCAATTACCTTAATCATAATTTGCTTCACTTGCTTTTGAGGGATTATAACAGTGTTTTAGTATTTCGTATGGAAGTCAAAATACTACTTAGTTAACATTTTGCTACTTTTATGACCAATGATTTCATATTCAGCGTTCCTTTTTTCGGGTAATAAGCATCTAAGGTCTATGACCATTATAAAACTCATTTTTGCCCTTTCTTTAGAAGGATGAAAATGATTCATCTTCATCTTTGAGTCATAATGTGCCTTTAAATAACGTTCGTTTGTTCACAGTTAAATATGAAAACAATTTAAAAACAGAAAATTTTGAGTTACTCGTTAAGTTACGGTATGTATTTTGCTTTGTCCTGTTTACAGATATGGCAAGAAAGCTGGTGCGGCTGTTAGAGCCGGATGTACTCAAGTAGATGATGACAGTTCTTGTGACTTGATCTTTGTGAACAGTGCTAATGAAAACCTACCATGCGACAACTGGAGCAGAAAATGAAATACGAAAGTTCTGACGATAATCGATCTTTAAATATAAATTGTGTTTCTTTCTGTCTAGACAATTTCAAAATAGGAAAAAACAGTTTTTTAAAAAAATCTAAAAAAGTACACATCTTTTAAATATTTGTATTTACGAGGAATGCTTATATAAAACATAAATGTTCAGTGCATATATATATTCGTCTATACATATTTACCGTCAATAAATAAGATCTATGCTTAAGTGTCAGTGTGGTCTTGAACTTTGACTTTGATTTTTAAGCATCACTGTGACCTTGACTGTGACCTTTGCGTTTGATCTAATAACCGAAAAATCTATAGGGACATTTATTGACCAATGAAAATGGCCCATAGAAGTTTCACAAACCTAGTCGTGTATGTTCTAAATTATTGATCGGACTATAATTTTACACATAATCACCGTGACATTGGCCTTTGACTTATTAACCTCACACCAATAGGGTTGGTTCATCAACTTGTCATGGGAAATGCCAATTTTCATACATCTAGGCATATTCTATCTCAATGTTTAGAGCGGACAAAAATGTTCGCAAGAAGATCTTGACCTAGGCTAAAAATCTAATAGGATCCACTTTTAGCAATGGTCATGGCATACCAAATAATCATCAAGCTATAGTGCGGACATCGATGTGGCTAACAGACGGACGGACATGAACAGCTTTCAGGAGCATAATTATGCATTAATTTTGGTCAAATAAACTACTTTACTTCAAGCGTGAATCTATTTTTTCTAGTACGCCAACAATAATTGTTGTTTTCTCTGTCGTGAAACTTGTTGAAACAAATATATTAATTGCTTCTATCGTTTTCAGTAACTCAAATATGTAACAGTACCCTATTGTTAACCGATATAGTTAATTATAAATTTTATAATACGCAAAGGCAAACGCACGTCATACACAAATGACTTTCGATATTTAACGATACATTAAAGATTACAAAAGTTAATAACTAATAGCCTTCCCGCGTAAGTTAAATCAGTTTAACACCAGTCGATAGATTTTATCAATTTCTTTCTCACGGACTAGGTTTTATTTACAGTTTTGAAATTGTTGTATTGATATTAAGGTAACATGTCATCTTGCATTGGCTGTGCAGGCAGTACTGGAGACTGCCTAGGGAAGAACTGGTCTTGACTTGTGCTTTCTATGTGGAGAAGTTGTAATTCGCGACTTTCTGGGCGTCCGTGATTAAAAATGTCTATAATAAATAATGCAACACAAAATATGCACAGTCCAGCAGCTATTGTACATAGTATGAATGATGTGGTGAAGCTGGAACGTTTTTCAGATGACGAACTGTCGAAAATGAATTCATCGTACGTCACTCGTTCAAATAGTATCACAGCAACCACGTTACCAACGCCTGGAGTGGACGAGAAAAAAAAATATATTCATAATAATTCAGTAAATAAACATATTTAAGATTTTAAATATATGTACTACGTTAATTTTGCAACACATAACAGTTACTGTCATATTAGGTATTCATATAAACATTCATGCAACGTCGCTTGCAATATTATGAAAATCAACGCATTCAATGTATAAAAATTGGGAAAATGTTAAATAATGCTATAGATGCTTAAAACATAATTCAACCTTAAAGGTTACCTGAACATGACGTAAATAGGAGGTTTAGCAATTTTAGAATTTTGTCACGTTGTCGAGCACATACGATAACGGTAGAGATAATCGTGCTGAGGAAAAGTCCAACAATTCCGGCAGTAAGTAGAATCTGCGAAACCCTGAACGTACCTTAAATAAAAAACATTTTATATTGCTAGTTTGAATATATATAAGGTTGCACAAATTGTCTGGTCAAATACAACTAAATTATATCAGCAGACGAGACGATATAACATGAAATAAAGTTAAAAAAAGGACTTGCCGTCTGTCTAACATGTTATGAATCTAGATTCGATTTAGTGACAGCTTGTACTTTACATACAATTGTTTATACAGCTGTCACCATGAATTTTAAGTGCCATAACAGTAATAGAGGAACAATTTAAGGCTATAAAATCGTTATGAAACAGCAGTGTCCTTTGCACATAAATAGATTGACAAATCTATATAATGGGTAATTATTCCTTTAATCGTTATTCTGAGGCCACGAGGAAGCCGCAATTGTTATTATACTTATTTGAGTACATGAATCGGTTAATAGTAATTTTTTCAGCTATAGTCCAATCATTTTAAACTACATTTAAAAGTACAAAAAATGTAACTTCTTATTCACAACAAAACTTGTATTATTAATATTATTTCTCTACAGGAGATTATTTGAGTTCTGTTTAAAACTAGAACTGCCACTGTCCTGGTTAAGATACTTCTGCACGCAACCTTGTCAGCAGTATGCTATAAAAATCACGTTGATATATCGATCATATTGACTTAAAGTGTTCTGCATAGAGCAGTTACTTCAAAATAATGCAAAAAGAATGCGGGTTTTGACCACTGCTCTTTTCATTAATCAAATCCTGTATGTAACGCTGAAAGATAATATACCTCTAGTACTCTAAAATATGTCATGTACAAAAAGTAATCTTGAAAAATCCAAAAGGTTCATAACTACTTTTTTTAAACTAACACACAAGAGAACAAAAATGTTTTGATTATTTATCTCTTCAATTCGCTCTATCCATGTTTGAAGTTTCAAGTTGATACCATAGTGTTTTTCGAGAAATACAGTAAAAAAATGCAAAATTAGGAATTGTTTTATGCTGAATATATGAAACTAGTCGAGGGACCATAACTACCATATGAAGTGGGGAAAAAACAAATATATTTTAATAATCTCACTTCTACATGAGAGTACAAACATGCAGTGTTCAAAAGTTTCGATGATGCCCACCATGAACAGTTGTAGGAAAAAAAAGCGTTCACAAGATTTTACATGTACTACAGATTCACGTACCTGTAAAAGAAGGTTTTCTTACACACTCAAAATCCTTTATTACCGCTGAAGTATTACTCGAACAATTTTGCCAGAGTCCAACAAATTCTGTTCTCTGAATATCAAAAGAATCATCTCCTATATCAGCCTGTACCCAAACAATCTTCAGCCAGTATGGCAAAGCAAATCCGACAATATGCAGTATGAGCACCAAATATATTAAAACAGTCGCTATCTTAATCGAGGCTGTAGACCGTGAAAGTTTACGTTTACAGAACTTAGCAAATATTTCCATTCCACAAATGTGTTACCTCACATTTACTTATTTTGATTAGTTTTATAACAGATATTTCACGAATTCTAGATACGCATCGTACTCATAAGGTAAGAAAATGAATGATATAGAAATGTGGCGGTTAAATATACGATATGAAAATACAAAACAATAATCAATAGATAGCTGTAGAAACATATGTTTAAATATTTGTTGACGTATATCTGTATACGGCATACGGTAACCTAACGCAGATATTAGATGAATAAATGTCCACAATTTCCTTACACACATGTATCAGTTTATATACCAGCTTTTTCTACCACGAAACTTTAAACTTACAGAACTATTTCACCTTACTTTAATAACATATGATGCTGCAAATTGTTGTTTAGGAATCTGAGCCTTAATATAATGGTATATAATGTTTATGATAATATTGCTTAGAAAAGTTGTTTTATTAGGCTTCTAGACACTATTACTCAGTGAATATAACTTCACCGTTTTTGTCCTGGCTATATACATGTATATACTACACCTCACACAATTCACACATTCAAAGAACATGTTCCTTGTATCACCGTGTATATCTCGTAACGCAAAAATGTGAAAAAAACAACGACGTTGTATCGTGCAAATTAATTAATCTATGACCGAAACGAGCATCGCTCAGTAAACTAACCAATATTTTATAGTAAACCAGATTGAAACATATGACTGCTAAAGCATTACAACCTAAAAAAAAGAAAGCTCTAGAAAGATTGCTCTGTCAAAACGTTAGAATTCACAAAACAGACGGGTCTATTATAATTTTCGATAGAGTTTTGAACCAAATATGTTCAAAGCGTTCCAGCGTCACTTTTGGCATAAAACAACATAATTTCAAAATTAAATTCAACCAGACCCAGGCGTGATTTTCAACTAAACTTCAGCACAATGAGATGCAATTATATAGTCCCCAACGTTATAATAACAAGAATCCATCACGTGTTAATAAACTGAATATTACGAAAACCGTTCATCTTTCCAAACATTCCAAACTTTGATGCAACCAATTATAAACTGGCAGATTTGCCATAAAGAAAACGCTCATAACGGAATTTTCTACGTTGCAACAAACATCAGTACATGTATGTTACAGTGTACAGTTATTACATGGGTGTTTGTGGAACAGTCCAAACTGTTGCACTTCGGTATCAGGGATGACATTTAGAACTGTTGCCAGAGGCGTATCAGAGATGAAATTTGGAACTGTTGCCAGCGGCAGAAGGCCGAGGCAACAGTTCCAAATGTCATCCCTGATACCGAGGGACAACAGTTTACTGTTCGAAAATGCCATCCCTGATACCGAGGGACAACAGTTTACTGTTCCACAAACACCTATGAAATAATTGTTTTATTACCTAATACTTTGCAATTAAACTACAATATAAATTGCAACAACATACAAATGACATTTTTTTCAACAGTTTAAATTAGTTACAACTGAATCCTGCAGACGAACCACTATTGTATATTGAGCTGAGCTACATTAAAAGACCGAATAGTGGCGGGCGGCGTTTACAGAAATCAAAATATCAAAAGAAAAAATATTTCTTTGGTGATAAATAAAAATGAAAACTTCTTATATTCACTGGTATGGTGGTATTTTCTCAGTTAATTAATTTACTGGCGAGCATAATATTATTTTATTCAACTCGTGCAATAAATTCAGTAATGAACTTACACGAATTTAATATTCTATTTATCACATTCCCAAAATAAAGACTGTTTGAAGTGAAATAAGAGTCATTTTTCATTGATGCGTCTATAGTATAACGCTAACATTTAGCGCGTCTTTACACTATGTTTGTATAACGCTAATGACGTCACGTCAAAATATATGCACGGCCGTGCAATACCATATTTACGGACTCGCAAAATCGGCACGGGTGTGTGCTAAAAGCCGTTTTGAAAAAAGATCATATTTCAACGTCTATAATTAATGTGATATACCATGGAGCTAAATCTGTGGATAGACGTTGAAATATGATTTTTTTTTTCAAAAATGGAATATATAAGTTTTTTGATAGATATATGATACGTACATGCACTGGAATTGACAAATAACCCTTTTATTTGGAATTTAAATGCGTTTTGAGCTCCACGCCTCAAGTGTCAGTGGATTGTTGTGGAAACTGAAAAAAATATAGTAGTGTTCATCATATTAACTTCTTAGTAGTGTTCAACCTGTCAACTAAGCAAATGGCGTCAGACGATGACAAGAACGATTTTCCTTTGTTTCACGAGTTCTCTCATCATCTCACGAATACAACAGACATTGTAGAAAATATTTTAGTTTATCTTAATGCGAGAGAACTAAACAGATCTGCGAGGTGAGCTGACATTTGTCCAGAAATGTTTAAAATAAAACTGTATCATATTTTCGCGATGATACAAATTATTTTGCAAATTGCCAAAATTCAGTGTTGCATCTAGAGTTTCAAAATCATGGGAATAATGTCGCCCACTTAACTGAAGAAATGTGGGGGATTCCAAAAATGTGGGGGACGTACATGCATTAACCTATTAATATGATCACTTTGAACATTTTTGGGGCTCTGTACCACAGGTGGCAGTATCAGTGTTTGGACACCCCACCCCTATCTGCCCCTGGACCCCTACTACAACCCTGAAAAAATAATTCAACATATAAATTAATATATATTTTAAATATTGAACCACCTAAACAAAGTTCAGTTCAAAGACTTTACATTACACCACAAAAACTATGTATGAAAATGGAATCTGGTACTTCTTTAAGGTCTTGAATGAGGTATACAAAACATGGTCTTTTTACCCCACAACAGTAGATAAAGTCGACACTTAAATTTTGTGGGGTGGGGTGTCCAAACACTGATACTGCCACCTGTGCTCTGTACCAGTTGTTGAGTCAACTGTGTCTGATTTTATTCAAGACTCTTCTTAACACAAATCAGCACTTACAATTTGTTTAGATGTGGATAGTTCGTTTTCACAAGTATTTTTTCCAGATGTTGACTGACGTACCGGAAAAAATCATATTCTATTTTGTTGAATTATTGTTCTATTTTATAGGGTATGCAGCTTTTGGGCAAAGATTGTTAAAAGGTTAAAAAGAAGGAGGAAAACAAGATCGTGGACTTGTCTGCACAATATTAGTGACGAGGATGATATGACAAGTGATGCAGTAGTACAAACTCAAAACTTTATTCAGGTAAATAAGCTTAGGGTTCTTAATCTACAAGACAAACTTTATCCAAGAGATGTCATAGCTTGTCACAAATATGGAGCCATATTGATTTGAAATTCAACACTCAGAATAGCTTTGTAATACAAATGTATAACTTTCGATGTTGATAGCAAAAATTTCAGTTAACAATTTGCTAAATTCTAAAAGAAAAAATATATATATATACAATTATATATACTGGTTGGGGACCACCAAAACCAGACAACCACCAAACCCGGACGGCCCGAAAAATGCTTAATTTAGTATTTTCTTTGTTCAGTGGTTGTCAGTCACTTTTTTATCAACAATAAATGCATGTTTCTTCTAAAATTAAGTAAATAAATTTATTTCAACCTCCGTAAATGGTAATATTTATGCCCCCGCCATGTAATGGCCGGGGCATATAGTGTTACCCTGTTCCGTCCTTCCGTCCTTCTGTCATTCCGTCATTCTATCATTCCGTCATCATCAGTTTCCGTTCATTATCTTAGTAACGATTGCACACATTCAACTCAAATTTGACATATGGATATGTCATGAGAAAATACAGGTCAAGTTCGAATTTGGTCATGGTTCGATGATTTTTGGCAGAGTTATGCCCCTTTACTTTGAAAATAACATGAAATTTTCAGTTTCTGTTCATTATCTCCCCAACTGTACAACACATTCAACTCAAATTTAACATATGGATATGTTGTGAGAAAATACAGGTCAAGTTTGAATTTGGTCATGGTTCGATGATTTTTGGCAGAGTTATGCCCCTTTTACTTTAAAATAATATGAAATTTCCGTTCATTATCTCCCCAACGGTACAACACATTCAACTCAAACTTGACATATGGATACGTCAAAGGAATGCGCAGGTCAAGTTCAAATTTGGTCATGGTCCAATGATTTTTGGCAGAGTTATGCCCCTTTCACTTTGAAATTTTCAGTTTCTGTTTATTATCTCCCCAACAGTACAACACATTCAACTCAAATTTGACATATGGATATGTTTTTTTAGGAATGCCCAGGCCAAGTTCGAATTTGGTCATGGTTCAATGAATTTTGGCAGAATAATGCCTTTTCACTTTGAAAATAATATGAAATTTACAGTTTCTGTTCATTATCTACCCAACAGTGTTACATATTCAACTCAAATTTTTTTTTGACTTCCGGTCAGTGTCATGGCGTGAGCGTTTTATGAGATGAGGACATTTTTTTCTGAAATTACTAGGTGTAAATCAGTTGCTTGTTATTAAAATGCATATGTGATAAAGTGAATATGTTATGGAACTAAACCTCATATAAAAGGTGACTTTTTGTGCGTTTTTTTAACTTGAAACATCTTTTTTTATAAACTTTACATGTGTCATGCTCCATTGGTTTTGTAAACAATCCACATATATCTCGTTTTCGGACAGTGCACGAGAAAATTGAGAGTTATCTCGAGGGTGAACAGTCACGCTCAAAAATAAATAAACTATACTACAGAACAAAAATAACGTGTCTAGCATGAGCAGTACTCCAAGTGCGACTGATAAAAAAAGAGTTGCAACATCTCCATTAGATTCATTTGACTACAAGAAGACACGAACACTTTCTACAGATTCGTCTGCTTCTACCATGGCTGATTATAATCTCCCTCTTGACGAAACTCAACTTAAACAATTGTCCGAGCAAGTGAGTTCCTCTCTTGAAGCCATACTCCCAGACATGGTTAAGTCTATAGTGTCAAAAGTAATTGAAGCTTTACAAAATAGAATGTCTGCCATACAAGACGAAAACTCTTCTCTTAAAGAACGTGTCTCGGATCTGGAAAAACGCGTTGAACTTCTGGAAATTGACCACGAGGCATCTGATCAGTATAGCAGACGCAACTGTTTAAGGATTTCTGGCATCAAGGAAGAAAATAGTGAATCTATGACCGACATCATTAAAAATCTATCAGCCGAAATCCAAGCAAATATCGATGTTCATGATATTGATAACATGCATCGCCTAGGACGACCAAATTCAAATACGTCTTCTGGTAAACATCCACATCGGCCTAACAATCAAACCCGTCCGAGAGACATAATAATTAAATTTACATCTTATCGAGCCAGGCAGTCTCTTCTTTCTCGCCGATCTGCACTCAAAAACTCAAAACTATTTGAACGTGTCTTTATAAACGAAGAGCTTTCGAAGAAACGCAGTGAAGTTTTTTTCCATGCGAGGCGCCTTGTCAAAACCAACAAAATAAAATCAGCGTGGACATCCAACGGAGTTATTCTAGCGAAAGATCACTCTGATATTGTGCACCGATGTACACGATTGATGGATCTATCAACATTTGAAGTGTAGTCGAACTTTTGTCGAGCAGTATACTTTTAACGCGCGCACTCTTAGTACCTATAGTATCACGTGACATTTTGTAAACCGGAGTGATCAAAACAAACATTGTTTATCTTGTTTAAAACCTGTTACAAAATGTATCTTTATCATGACTAATATAATTGATTTACCTAAAAGGGGAAACTCGGTCATCTACTTGTTCATATTTTTGTCGGTGAATGATACACAGTTGTTCATTGTTTTGTTATTTTTCGCTCTGTTTATCTTGTTTTCTTTGAATTAAAGAACTTTAAAATTACTTAAAAATTAGGCAACGGGTGATCTTGTTCTTCCGGTCTTCGTCCTGCATGGAAAATTTTGATACTGGTTTATTTTTCGTAATTTGAAATTAAAATATTCTACTTTCCATGCGTTAGAAATTTTAAATTTTCATTATTATTTCTATACATACGATGTACTTGTCTGAGAATTAAAATGTTTATTAGTTTGATCATTGTAACAATATTTGTTTTTATCTCTCTCTATTCAGATAAAATAACTATGAATATTGTCCCTACATGTATATTACAATCAAGAGAAATAACACTTATGACAATATTCTTGCAAAAAAGGCTGTCTTCTTGTTATGTGCATTTCAAATTGACGATGTGCATTTTTTTCTCAATTTATAATGACCTTACTGCATTAAATTATGTAACTACTACTATATTAGTTACATATGTTATTATTTACATGCGACTTCAGAACATTACATTACTAGTATATTAGTAACACATAGGACTGCAGTATTTTATGTAACTATTAGTGTTTTAGTTATACATTGAACTTTTTTTCTTTTTCATCTTTTTTTTTACATGGGACTGCAGTAACTACATGTACTAGTATTTTAATTATACATTGAACCTATTCTTCTTTTTTTAATGAAACTGCAGTACAGTATGTAACCATAAGAATTTTTTTTCGTTACACAATGGATTATTTAAATGTATATTAGTTAATCTATTCATTATTTGCATCGGACTGCAGTAAATTATGTAACTACTTGTATATCAGTTGCACTTGCATAACTTATGGACTGCAGTTTTTTTATGTAACTATTAGTGTTTTAGTTACTCATTGAACTTTTTTTCTTTTTCATCTTTTTTTTTTACATGGGACTGCAGTACACTATGTAAGTACATGTATAAGTATTTTAATTATATATAATTATATTGAACCTAATTTTTCTTCTTTTTTAATGGGACTGCAGAACAGTGTGTAACTATAAGTTTTTTTTGTTTTTCTTCGTTACACAATGGATTATTTAAATGTATATTAATTAAACAATTCATTATTTGCATCGGACTGCAGTAAAATATGTGACTACTTGTATATCAGTTGCACTTACATATTGGACTGCAGTACATTATGTTACTATCTATATATTAGTCTGCATTACATTATGTTAATATGACCATATTAGTTACACATTGTATTATTTACATAGTTCTGCAGTACACTATGTAACGGGACCATGACTTTATTCCTTACATTCAAAATAGAAAACTTATTATGTTACTATTTAATATAATGTCCTGTCCACATCGCATCATAAATATTATGCCTTTGAACACATTCGTTTCAAGTGATGCAGAAAAGTATTACACATTGAAGTTACATTTTTTTTACACAAGCAATTAAAATTTACGACTTGAAATATTTCTATTTAGAATGTACCGTCTGTGGTATACTTCATATTTTATTATGGTGAGCATATTAATTTTTTGTTACCCAGTGTACACTTTAATTATCTCAAGGTCGTATTTTACATTTGTAGAAACTTCTAATGGTTGATATTATTTTGTTGTACTTTTTTTTTTTGCATGATGGAGATAATCGTTATCAAGTCCTTCAACACCCATATATAGATAACAAACACATGAACTGGTATTCATACACATAACTTATGTAAATAATTCCATAGCAACCGTATATTGTCAGTAAAATATTACAAAAATGTTCTCATCGCACAATGTTCTACTTAATTTCCCATCATCATTTACAATGTTGATTACCATTCTAATTGTTTTCTTTTCTTTTTTGTCACACACTTGTCTGTCTATGGAAATGAGATTCATTGCTGATGTTCCGGACATGATATCGAACGCTTTTTGTACAATGCAACCAATCGTCTCCCTTACCTATTTATTGAAACGAAAATGACACTCTCTTATTACATATACCGTTGCCGTTTCTTAATACCTCTGGACATTTCCATATCGATTAACCCTTGCATTTTAATTACAGCTTTATATTTAGTTATGATTCTTATTAACAAATCCGGCGATATAGAGCTTAATCCTGGTCCTCCTGTAATCGCTGACACACTCAACTCTTCAAATTCATCTATTGAATATTATGCTTCTCTCCTTAACCGAGGTCTGAGCATCATGCATTTGAATATCCAAAGCCTGAAGCCAAAGATTGATGTTTTAGCTGTAGAGGCCCAACCTTATGACATCCTTATTTTCACAGAAACGTGGCTGTCTAACAATGTTACAGACACAGACCTTTACATTCCTAACTTTAGTAAACCCTTCCGTTGTGACAGAATCGATCGTATAGGCGGTGGTGTAGCTATTTATGTCCGTGATTCTTTACACGCTATTGAAAGGAAAGATCTGCAAGTGCAAGGTGTAGAAGCACTCTGGACTGAAATACATATATGTCAACGTAAATTAATTGTTGGGGGTATATATCGACCTCCGAATTCAAATAATACACAATGGTTAAAAATGGAATACTTGCTTGATCAGGCACTTAATCAACACGTTGATAATATCTTAGTAGCTGGTGACTTTAATATAAACGTACTTGCCAACCCTTCAAACAAAATGACAAGACTTATACATTCTTTAAATTGCGAACAACTAATAAACTCTCCTACGCATTACACAGAAAGTTCTAATTCACTTATTGATCTTATGTTCATTAAAAAATCTCATCATGTTCTCACGTCTTTTGTTGCTGACCCATTTCTCTCTGACCTAGTTAGGTTTCACTGTCCAATAGTGTCAGTACTTAATTTTACCAAACCACAACAAAACTGTTTTCGTCGTAAAATTTGGATCTACGATAAAGGTGAGTATCAAAAATATAACGAAAAACTTAGTTCAATTGACTGGTCATTCATTGACAACGATCAAAACCCAGATAATATTGCAGATTGTATCGCCCAAAACATTCTTAACGCAGCATCTGAAAGCATCCCAAACAGAATTGTAACTATCCGGCCAAATGACGTACCTTGGATAAATAATGATGTCAAAAAACAAATAAGAAAACGTAGGAAACTTCATCAAAGAGCTAAATTACTTAATAATGAAAATGCCTGGGCTAACTTTCGAAAAATTAGGAATGAAACCACAAAACTTATAAAAAAAACTAAATCAGATTATCAAAATAACTTAACTACACAGATTAATTCAGACAACATCACAGCAAAAACATGGTTTAAACTTGCAAAAAAATTAACAAATAAACAAAGTACATCAACAATACCAACACTTACAGATGGCTCAGCAATAGCGGAATCAAACAAAGAGAAAGCTGACCTTCTAAACACCTATTTTAGCAAACAATCAACCATCGAAAACCCACACCATCCCCTTCCACCTCTTGAAATCATTACAAACGTCCTCATTTCTGGTGTAACAGTCACTACTCAAGACGTTAAGGACTCTATCAACTCTATGGACTCAGCTAAAGCATCTGGTCCGGACTTAATTAGCCCAAGGCTCATTAAGGAAGGTAAGGATGAACTAGCTTCACCACTTGCAAGGTTTTTCAACAAACTTCTTTTAAAATCTGTATTTCCCTCCTCCTGGAAACTTGCCAATGTTTGTCCTATTTATAAAAAGTCCGATCCTTCTAAAACATGTAACTACAGACCTATATCTCTTTTAAGCTGTCTCGGAAAAGTTATGGAAAGATGCATCCATAAATACTTGTATAACCATGTCATTTCAAATAAACTATTAACACCATTTCAATCAGGATTCATTAAAGGGGATTCAACCATAAATCAGCTAACCTTTCTTTACAATGACATCAGCAAAGCCCTAGATGAAGGAAAAGAAGTTCGCGCAGTATTTTGTGATATATCAAAAGCTTTCGACAGGGTTTGGCACCAAGGACTCCTCTATAAACTTTCTTCTTTAGGCATACAAGGTTCTCTTCTTCAGTGGTTCTCATCTTATCTTGCTGACAGAAAACAAAGAGTCATCGTATCAAATACTTCTTCAACACTTTTAAATATCAATGCTGGAGTACCTCAGGGGTCCATCTTAGGCCCTCTCCTGTTTCTAATATACATTAATGACATAGTCACTGATATTGAAGCAAACATTCGACTTTTTGCTGACGACACTAGTCTCTACATCATTGTCGAAGATCCCAACTCTTCTGCTGCAATATTGAATTGCGATCTTTCAAAAATTTCTGTGTGGTCAAAAACTTGGCTTGTCTCATTTAATCCCTCAAAAACAGAACATGTCCTTTTCTCAAGAAAACGAAACAAACCCCAACACCCTTGTCTAGTCTTTGATAATGTGAACATTTCTAGTGTTAAAGAACACAAGCACCTTGGTGTCATCTTTTCTGAAAATGGTAAATGGACATCACATATAACATCAAATGTTAATAAAGCTTGGCAGAGAATTGGTATTCTTCGAAGTCTGAAATTTCTTATTTCTAGAGCGGGATTGGAGAAATTATATGTAGCCTTTATTAGACCTTTGCTTGAGTATGCCGACGTGATGTGGGATAACTGTAGTAATGAACTAAAAAATGATATTGAATCAGTTCAGCATGAAGCAGCAAGAATCGTCACCGGAGCTACTAAGTTTTGCAACATCAACAAATTAATTAGCGACCTCAGTTGGGATACACTCGCAGAAAGGAGAAGAAAACATCGTCTCGTACTTATGTATAAAATGAGAAATGGTCTCGCTCCTGATTATCTCTCTGGTCTGATACCAGAACATTTTAATCAACCCTACACTCTTCGCTCTAACAACGATATCCCATTAATACACTGCAACTCCCAATCCATATGCTACTTCTTTTCTTCCGTATACTATTCGCCAGTGAATTCTTTACCTGGAAATATTAAAAATGCATCCACAGTAAGTGCTTTCAAACACAAACTCAACTACAGAAATATGTCGTCTAATAAGAAAAAACACCTGTATAATTTTGGCAGCAGGAAAAACCAAGTAAACCATACACGTCTCAGACTTGGATGCAGCTCTCTTAATTTCGAATTACATAGGAGAAACTTAATCTCGTCTCCTTTGTGTACATGTGGTGCCATAGAAACTGTTTCCCACTTTCTGCTCAGTTGTCCTAAGTACCATACCCTACGTCAGCAATTCTTTGACGACCTACCCTGTGCCCCAACCCTTAATAATCTTCTTTTCGGCAATGATCGCCTAAGTATGGACATCAATCAGAATCTGTTCACACTTGTCCAGAGCTTCATTGAAGCATCAAAGCGTTTCGATTCATAATTCCCGACTCAGCGTTTTAAACATCGTATTTCCATGACAAACTGTGTGACACAACTTTTTTTTTTATTGTTATTATTATTTTTATTTTCTTCTCTCTTTTTTTTTTTATTAAAAAGGAAAATGAATAAACAAAAAATCAAGTAAAACCTTCCGAAAAATTATAAATTTAGATCAATTTTGAACTTAAAAACATGCACTGATCATACAAAGTGAAATAACAAAGACGAAACTCCATCATGGAAAGGAATTAATATAAGTGTTATGCTTGTTTTCCAATCCATATATATTGTGATGTAAAAATGTTACATGCTTGTAAAAATTGATGAATAAATATGTTTAAACTAACTCAAATTTGACATATGGATATGTCAAAGGAATGGGCAGGTCAAGTTGGAATTTGGTCATGGTTTGATGATTTTTTTTGACAGAGTTATGTCCCTTTCACTTTGAAAATAATATAGATACATCTTAGGAATAAGCAGTTTAAGTTTGAATTTGGTCGTGGTTCAATGATTTTGGACAAACTTATCTTTCTTGAACGTTGGAAAAATTTTGAACTTTCAGTTTCAGCACTCATACTTTTGTGGAAATGTATGTAGCCATTATGAAATATGCTATTTTCAAAAGGTTAAGACTGAAAAATTTCAGTGCCTTGAAAATTGTATGAAAATGGTTTGTGTTAACATTGAAAAGTTTTAAGGGCTTTGAACTTAAAATGAAAAAAATAATTTGTACAAACAAATTTGGAACTAAATGTTATAACATCTGAAATTTTGGCTGCATGCGGGGGCATCCGTGGCATGATGACACATTTCTAGTTTAATGTCTATTTCAAGAATGTTGACGTTGAAATTTGCGGGTCAAGAAAACAATGCCTGACCTCATATAACAGCTATAATCATTTGCAGAGTAAACAATAGAATATCCAAACTTCAGCATTTGTTGCTGAAATATTGTATATCATATTAAAAATAAAAACACCTAAGCTTTTATCTGAACTAAATCACGTCATGTACATATCTGTCCGGACACATGGTACTGCAGTGTAGTAGTAGACAATTTAGGTAATTTTGATACCGTAACCCTCCTTGATGAGCCGCAGATATAAGTGTCAATATAATCAGAAATAAACAAAGTAGTATGTTAGTTAGGAGAAAAACCTAGCTGAAGTGTGTCAAATTTATTGATCTCTAGGTTAAAAATTATGAATTCTGTATGGAAAAATGTTCCAAAAATGTCCGGTAGATGGTATCAGACCAGTAGATATAAGAATTGTTTACAATTTATTGTATGCGTGCATACTCTTTTACTTATTGATTTAACAGGGGCTATACACAGAGCCTGATGCTGTGTTTGTGATAAGTACAGCAGACCTTCTGCACATGAAAACTGGACTAGCAGGGCAGACAAGAAGTGGTCGTTTAACTCATGGTGTAACACAGACTTACCAAGAGTTTGTGTGCTCATTATTACCACAGTCTTGCAAGTTATGTGGGATAGAATCAAATGGTATTATAGGTAGGTGTACAGCCACTCCTAGAAGCAAAGTTAAAATGTTTAGGATTTTGAAATGAATTCAGTATAGTTCGTGAAATGAGAAATTCTAAAAGAGATTTAATACAAGTTTATTAATATTTTAACTGAATAGAATAATTTTTTTCCCTCTTTTTGGAAAGCTGGGAAGTGTACAGATTTACCCTTGTTTGTCCATTTGCTAGAGCCATTAAATATCTTAGAATAGTTGTCAGCTTTTGAACTTATGCACCTTAATATTTTGATGCAAATTTATTGAACATCAGCCCCTCATTAAGTAGACTTTTGTCATGTCAAACTACAGAGGTGTACCTGCTAAAGCCATGAAACTTTCAAATAATAGATGTATCACATGAATTTATACACTTTGGTAATTAGTCACAAATTAATTGGAGTTATGCAGTGTTATAGTCCCTGTATTGCGACACAGCCTTGTATGACATTCTTTGGGTTATTGGCCCTCATTAATAATAAATATATACACGTATTTGACTTGACTTATGTCAATATTGTGGAGTAGTTAGTATCCTTAATATTCATATATGACAAGTTGTTCCAATAATTCATATATGACAAGTTGTTCCAATAATTCATATATGACATGTTGTTTCATTAATTCATATGTAACAAGTTGTTTTAATAATTCATATAATTTATGACAAGTTGTTCCAATTATTTATATATGACATGTTGTTCCAATAATTCATAAATGACAAGTTGTTCCAATTATTCATATATGAAAAGTTGCTCCAATTATTCATATATGACAAGTTGCTCCAATTATTCATATATGACAAGTTGCTCTGATAATTCATATGTGACAAGTTGTTTCAATTATTCATTTATGATAAGTTGCTCCCATAATTCATAAATGACAAGTTGTTCCAATTATTTATATATGACATGTTGTTCCAATAATTCATAAATGACAAGTTGTTCCAATTATTCATATATGACAATTTGTTCCAATTATTCATATATGACAAGTTGCTCCCATAATTCATATATGACAAGTTGCTCCAATTATTCATATATGACAAGTTGCTCTGATAATTCATATGTGACAAGTTGTTTCAATTATTCATTTATGATAAGTTGCTCCTATAATTCATATATGACAAGTTGCTCTGATAATTCATAAATGACAAGTTGTTCCAATTATTCATATATGAAAAGTTGCTCCAATTATTCATATATGACAAGTTGCTCTGATAATTCATATGTGACAAGTTGTTTCAATTATTCATATATGAACAAGTTGCTCCCATAATTCATATGTGACAAGTTGCTCCAATTATTCATATATGACAAGTTGCTCTGATAATTCATATGTGACAAGTTGTTTCAATTATTCATTTATGATAAGTTGCTCCTATAATTCATATATGACAAGTTGCTCTGATAATTCATAAATGACAAGTTGTTCCAATTATTCATATATGAAAAGTTGCTCCAATTATTCATATATGACAAGTTGCTCTGATAATTCATATGTGACAAGTTGTTTCAATTATTCATATATGACAAGTTGCTCCCATAATTCATATATGACAAGTTGCTCCAATTATTCATATATGACAAGTTGCTCTGATAATTCATATGTGACAAGTTGTTTCAATTATTCATTTGATAAGTTGCTCCTATAATTCATATGTGACAAGTTGCTCCTATAATTCATATATGACATGTTGTTCCAATAATTCATATATGACAATTTCATGTTGTTCCAATAATTCATATATGACAAGTTGTTTCAATAATTCAAAGAATTTATGACAAGTTGTTCCAATTATTTCAGGGACAACATCAGATTGTAGAGAGAGTATAGAAGTTGAAGATAATGAAGGTGATATTAAAGGGGTTTCATTTCTTTGTCTACCAAAGCATGATGATGTGGACATTGAAGTTTGCAGTATGACTGATGACCGTTGTTGTGAAACACCTGGTTATGTTAACAGATATAAGGAGTATGTTAACAGGTATAAAGGGCATGAGTCTCATATGTGTAAATTGATACTGATGATGGTAGCCGAGTTTCAGACACCAAGAAAATATGGTTTCCAGCTGAGGGATGCTGCACCTATGCGCTGGTAGCAGGTGCTTTTGTAGATGCAATTTTCAATCATGATCCGTAAGTTTTACAAGATTTTCTATATCTTATAATATTATATTGGGATCCTACATATTACCGGACAAAATATGATGTTTTTTCGCTGTTACTTTTATTTAAAAATAATAAAAAAGAATGAAATTTTACCCAAATAATTGTAGATGCTTAATATACGTAAACATTTCTTTATCAAACATAAAATTAAACATTTGACCGTAGAAATGTGTCTTTAAAGTAGGGCATTAAAAGAGGGAAAAAATCGTGTAGACAACTCAATTTACTGGACATTGTGTTTCAAAATTTTTTGAAGTCTTAAATTGAAATAAAGCAAGGAAACTACGACTGTTGAATGGCAATGTTAAGATTCTGGAAAAACCCAGTATGTCACTAAAATAGACATGGCAGCCATGCTTGTTACAAAGAGGCCAATATAGGGGTGTAATTGAAATTAACACTTTTAACTCAATTAACGTATTGATTCTTCATGATCCTTAAAAGTATGACACATTTTGATATTCAAATGGAATTCTGTTCTTTCTAGTACAGTTTCCTTTTGATCATCATGTAGCATGTTGCAAAAGCCATATTAAGTCTATGTTTTGTACATTTAATGTAGAGTTTCCTCCCATGGGCGTAACCCGTTTCCTTATATGTTTTCTAATTTGCATTTCTTTGTAAAAGACAACAACAGGATATTGTTTGAACGAAATTTGAAATTACATTTTATCATCAAAATATGTTACGATTGTCTCCTGAGGTAACTTTGAGAAGAATTAAAAGCAAAACCTATTGTTTCCTTTTGTATTTATAGAACAATTAAACTTTTTTGTACTGTTAGTGGAAAGATTTATTTCCTTAAAAAAATGGAATTATCTTTAGCACTACTTTTATAAAAAAAGAAATTGAAAAATCTGTTATAAAAAAAGAAATTTAAAAAAATTTGTGATGCAATACTTCAAAATTGGTGTGTTTGTGCAATGTTATTGGAAAGCAGGTGTCTGTGAACAATTGGTATGATACTAGTATCTATAGCTAGGTACTTTTGTAATAAAATGCTCACCAACATGAATAGACTATAGCCATTTGTGGGGTGTCCGTGGCCGAGTGTTTAACGTCGTTGACTTCAAACCACTTGCCCCTCACTGCTGTGGGTTGGAATCCCGACAGGGACTTTAGATTTTTTCATTTGAGGAAAGTTTTCCAGCTAGCTTATGGAATTGGTGGTTCTACTCAGGTGCCTGTTCGTGCCAGTAAAGCTGGAACGTCACCAAATGACCTATACTGTGTCGGTGTGACGTAAAACCCAAACAAGCAAAATAGCCATTTGTATTGACAAATTGATTTAGGGTTTTTCAGGGGACTAGTTTTTATGTACAGAGTTTAACAAATTCATAATTATTCTTTTTCAGTGAATCAAGCATTTTGTCACAACTGATTTCAATACATGGTGAAAGAGTACAAGTAGCATCAGTGATTGTTAATGAAACAATAAACTTACCTGGTGATGCTGAAGAATGTATTAAAAGACTCAAATCACATAATCTGCCCGAGGATAACAGTTTTGCCTTCATGTTAGCATGTGTTGGTAGAGGGGAAGGTTTATATGAACAATCTAATATTGAGTCAGCACTGTTTAGAAAATATTTCCCTAAAACTCCTTTGATAGGTTTGTTTGGAAATGGAGAAATTGGATATGATCATGTAAATAAGGGATCACCTTCCCAAGAAGTGGAACCAGACTGCAAGAAGAAGAAATCTGACGTTAAACTATATCATTCTTTCACAACTGTGTTTGTTCTGGTGTCAATAACTTGATTTGTAATATAAGGGCACTTTATTCTAATCTTATTAGCTTTAATTTTTAGCTTGACTATATTAACTATATGGAGAGCTGTCCTACTCACCCTGGTGTTGGCATTCAGATTAAAGTTATTGTGCAGTAAAATACTTTTTCACTATTACTTCATTATTTCTTAAAGTAATCAGTTGCAAACTTCAAATATATGTTCTTCATCTTTAACCATATCTTATGTGATAAGGTTTATAATTCTGGAACTGGAAGCAATATTTTCAAAATTATCTCCCCTTAAACTTAGATTTTTTAAACTTTTCCAGTGCACAGTTAAAGATGTAAAATTGAACTTTGATATCAGGTAACCCAGATTTTGATGAATTGATCTACTTTCTTGTGCTTTGAAATTTGGACCATGTACACAGTTTTAGATGCAAAATTGAGCTTTGATATCAGCTGACCTAGATAATTTGATGAAGTGACCTTCTTTCTTGTCCTATGATGTACAGCTATGAAATTTGAACCAGATGTAAAATTGATCATTGAACATTATACTTGGACAAAACACTAAATGTGACCTGACCTACTTATTGTAATAATTTTTTTTTCCCTTTCCTTTAATGATTTTTATGCCCCCCTTCGAAGAAGAGTGGGTATATTGTTTTGCTAATGTCGGTCTGTCTGTCGGTCAGTCTGTCGGTAGACCACATGGTTTCCGCTGATTATCTTGAAAAGTATTTATCACAAAGTCTTCATATTTCACATAGTGATTGGTCATAACTAGTTGATGACCCCTATTGATTTTGGGGTCACTAGGTCAAAGGTCAAGGTCACAGGGGCCTTAAATGTCAATATGGTTTCCGCTGATTATCTTGAAAAGTATTCATCACAAAGTCTTCATATTTCACATAGTGATTGGTCATAACTAGTAGATGACCCCTATTGATTTTGGGGTCACTAGGTCAAAGGTCAAGGTCACAGGGGCATTAAATGTCAAAAGGGTTTCCGCTGTTTATCTTGAAAAGTATTCATCAAAAAGTCTTCATATTTCACCTAGTTATTGGTCATAAGTAGTAGATGACCTCTATTGATTTAGGGGTCATTAGGTCAAAGGTCAATGTCACATGGGCCTTAAATGTAAAAATGGTTTCCGTTGATTTTTCCATAATTGAACACTTCCATGTACCCATTTTTGGCAAGTTTCTGTAATAAAATTACCAATTATGTGAGTCAATGGCTAGAAAGGGGGGTATATGTGTCGTTCGACATTCTTGTTTTTAGCTCGACTTTTCTATGAAAAGGGGAGCTATCCTACTCGCCCCGGCGTCGGCGTTGGCGTCACACCTTGGTTAAGTTTTTCGTACCACCCCACTTTATTTCAGAAGTATTACAAGTATGGCTTTGAAACTTACCATACTTGTTCACCATCATAACCTCCATCTACAGACAAGAGTACATAACTCTGTCAAGGTTTTTGACAGAATTATGGCCCTTTTTTGACTTAGAAAGTGTATTGAGCTTGGTTAAGTTTTTTGTACCACCTCACTTTATTTCAAAACCATTGGAGGTATTGCTTTGAAACTGACCATACTTGTTTACCATCACGACCTTCATCAACAGACAAGAGGACATAACTCTGTCAAGGTTTTTGACAGAATTATGCCCCTTTTTGACTTAGAAAATACATTGAATATGGGTAAAATCCACTTATTGCCTTAACCCTTTGAGATATTGCTTTGAAACTTTTAATGCTATTTCACATCATTACCCCCATCTGTACGCAAGAGAAGGTAACTCTGTCAAGGATTTGTTTTAAAAATTAAGGCCTTTTATCGACTTAGAATCTTGGTTAAGTTTTTAGTACCAGTCCACTTTTTGACTGAACTGTTTGAGATATTAATTTTTTAGTTTTTAGTACCAGCCCTCTTTTGACTTAAACATTTCAAACTTTGCTGCAGTGTTCAAGGGTATCACACAATTCAGTAAAATAATTCTTCACTAAATATCTTAATGCTCATGGCCATTGTTCACTTTAAAAATACAGAGATTCTTGTATTTCCTTTTACTGCAAAAACTTTTTTTATTGGCAAGCAATAAAAAAGTCGAGCGCGCTGTCTTACGGACAGCTCTTGTTTAATATTTATTTAAACCTCTTATTTATTTGCTTTTAGAAAAATTAAAAAAGTCAAGCATTGTCCCTGCCCTGCAGTGGCACTTGCTTTAAATAACAGTGGAATTGTTGTCAAAATGTCTGTTCTTAAAGGGCATTTCGTCACTTCTTAGTCAATAGAAATTGGTCACTTTTCTTATGTCTTTCACATCACCCATGTAAAGACACGTGAAATTTGTGCTAAATTCAGAGCACGAGTAATGTTACATGTGTCATTAATGACTTTATGAACTATGGAGTGGAAAATTATAATTTTTGTGTCGCCTCTACAGAGAAATGGCGATATATAGGAATCACTTCTCTGTCATCTGTCCGTCGGTCTGTCTGTCTGAGCTAACATATGAGAGTTGAGCTTCATTCAGTAGTTAAATGAAGAACAAAAACTCATAAAAATCATATTGTGAGCTATTTTTGTTCTATGAGCTTATTGACTTATGTTCAGGTGTAGTTTATGAGCTTATTTGCCTCTTAAATATCAAATGTTGGTACGTCCGTCCATCACAAAACCTGTCTAGACCACTCCTGGTAAACTACTGGTGCAATTTCATCCAAACTTCACAGGAATGATCAGTACCAAGTGTAGTTGTGCATATTGTCAGCATTTTCCGGTTCAATGATTTTTGTCAGAGTTATGGCCTTTTAATAATTTTTATTTTTAAAGTTTGTCTGAACTACTTCTCTTATACATGTAGTACTAATGCCATTTCAATAAAACTTTACAGGATTGATTTGTAGCTCAAATGTAGTTGTGCATATCATCGGCTTTTTATGGTTCTATGAATTTTGTCAGAGTTATGACCCTTTTTTATTTTTTAGCTCACCTGTCACAAAGTGACATGGTGAGCTATTGTGATCGCCTTTCGTCCGTCATCCGTCTGTAAACATTTACTTTAAACATCTCCTCATAAACCGCCAAGTCAATTTCATCCAAACTTCACAGGAATGTTCCTTTGGTAGTCTTCTTTAAAAATTGTCCAAAGAATTTAATTCCATGCAGAACTCTGGTTGCCATGACAACCGAAAGAAATAACTTAAAAAAACTTTAAAAAACCTCGAAAGAGCTAGAGCTTAAATATTTGGCATGAAACATTATCTAGTCAGTGTCTACCAAGTTTGTTCAAATAAAAGCCCTGGGGTCCAAATTGGCCCAGCACAGGGGGAAGAGGGTCATTGATTTTCCTTATTTGTATATTATAAAAACTTAAGAAATCTTGTTTTAAAAAAACCCTAAGAGCTAGAGCTAAGATATTTAGCATGAAACATCTTCTAAAGGGTGTCTACCATTTTCGTTCAAATAATGGCTCTGGAGACAAAATTGGCCCCGCCCTGGGGGGTCATTGAATTCCTTATATGTGTATAGTAAAAACATCTTCAAACAGGTGTCTTCCAAGTTTATTCAAATAAAAGCCCCTGGGTTAAAATTTGCCCCGCCCTGGGGGCCTATATACAGGTAAGAAACTTCAGGGCCATCATGGCCCTCTTGTTATTTTTTTAAAGTTTGTCTGGACTACATTTCTTATTCCACTAATTCAATTTCAATGAAAGTTTACAGGATTGATTGGTAGAACTCAAACCCAGGACCCTCAGAATACAGTACAGCGGCTTTACCAACTGAGCTATCCAGCCACTTACACATCATCTCCCTTAAATAGTGAACAGTTCTAAACCGAGACATACTCCCCTGCTATATTGAAATTTGTCTTCGAATTTCACAGAGCAATTCTGCATTAACTTTGAGCTATATACAGTCATGGTCCCACGTTTGGCGCCAAATGTCACAGGGTGAGAGAAATGTGCAGCCTGAACGAGACTCCAAACTGGGACCCTTGGAATACCATACCGCGGCTCTACTGACTGAGCTATAAAGCAGCTTTCACATCATCTCCCCTAAATAGTGAACAGTTCTGAACCGTTAAAACTTAAATGTTTTTTGGCTGAGTTATTGCCCTTGAATAAAAAAGGTGCTTTTTTGTGTTGCCAGCTACACAGAAGTTTGTCTGGGCTTCTCCTCTGAAACTAGTGGTGCAATTTATCAAATCTTAAGGGGAATGATCAATACCATTTCTAGTTGTGCATCTCATCAACAGTTTTCGGTACATTGTTATTTGTCAGAGTTTTTGCGCTTTCATGATTTTAATTTTGAAATTTGTCCAGACTACTCCTGTTATACAAATGTACCACTAATGCAATTTCAATGAAACTTTACAGGATTCATCGACAGCTCAATTTCTTGTGCATTTGCACAAGGTTTTGGCGACACTGATGGCCCTTATTAGCTCACCTGAGCATATGCTCAGGGTGAGCTATTATGATCACTCTTCGTCCGTCGTCTGTCGTACGTCGTACGTTGTCCGTTCACACTTTTCAAACGACATCTCCTCTGAAACCATGAGGCAGATCATGATGAAACTTCACAGGGATGTTCCTTGTGTGAAGCCTTAACAAAGTTGTTCAAAGAATTCCATTCCATGCAGAACTCTGGTTGCCATGGCAACCAAAAGAAAAAACTTTAAACATCTTCTTCTAGATAACCCAAAGAGCTAGAGCTTAGATATTTGGCATGAAACATCTTCTAGTGAGTGTCTACCAAGATTGTTCAAATAAAAGCCCTGGGGTCAAAATTGGCCCCGCCCCAGGGGGTCATTGATTTTCCCTATAGGCATATAGTAAAAACTTAAAAAAATCTTCTTTTAAAGAACCCAAAGAGCTAGACCTAAGATATTAAGCATGAAACATCTTCTAATGAGTGTCTACAAAGATTGTTCAAATAAAAGCCCTGGGGTCAAAATTGGCCCCGCCCCAGGGGGTCATTGATTTTCCTTATATGCATATAGTAAAAACTTAAAAAAATCTTCTTCTAAAAAACCCAAAGAGTCAGAGCTTAGATATTTGGCATAAAACTTGTTCTAATGGATGTCTACCAAGTTTGTTCAAATAAAAGCCCTGGGGTCAAAATTGGCCCCGCCCCAGGGGGTCATTGATTTTCCCTATAGGCATATAGTAAAAACTTAAAAAAATCTTCTTTTAAAGAACCCAAAGAGCAAGACCTAAGATATTAAGCATGAAACATCTTCTAATAAGTGTCTACCAAGATTGTTCAAATAAAAGCTTGTGGGTCAAAATTGGCCCCGCCCCAGGGGGTCATTGATTTTCCTTATATGCATATAGTAAAAACTTTAAAAAATCTTCTTCTACAAAACCCAAAGAGCTAGAGCTTAGATATTTGGCATTAAACATGTTCTAATGGATGTCTACCAAGTTTGTTCAAATAAAAGCCCTGGGGTCAAAATTGGCCCCGCCCCAGGGGGTCATTGATTTTCCCTATATGCATATAGTAAAAACTTTAAAAAATCTTCTATTAAAGAACCCAAAGAGCTGGACCTAAGATATTAAGCATGAAACATCTTCTAATAAGTGTCTACCAAGATT